GAAGACCACTTGGAGATATACGGGAAGTTGAAAGAAGGGATAGGGATGAAGAGTTACTTGGACGGCCCCATGGACTACGCAAAAAAACTGAAGTTGCAATTTCGAGTAGGCGATCTGGACTTGCCAGAACGGAGGAAGAGGTACAGCAGCCGTAGGAGAGAGGAAGAGGAGGATAGACAGACATGTCCATGTGGCAAATCGGAGGAGAGTAGACCCCACATAGTTGGGGAGTGTGAGCTGTACAGGAAGGAAAGAGAGGATCTCGAGGAGGACATGAGACAGAGAGGGTGTGACATGGACAAGTTTGGTAAATTAGACAACAGCGAGAAAACGATCGCGGTAACTGGGGATAGATGGTGGGCACAAGAAGCCGTAGAGGACCGGGATAAGATGTGCAAGAAATTTTTATGTAGTTTGTGGCAGAAACGTACAGAGCTCCCAAATGTTGGTGGTGTCTCTAGTAGGGGTAGGAACGGTGCTCCGTCTCGAAAGGGACGCGTGGTCAATGGTCAAATGACTACGGCAAGCAACAAATGAGTACGCCCCCCCCCCACCCACCCCCTCCCACAACAGCACCCCATTGATCACCGCCACAAGAAGAATTTCAAAAGGTAGTGGTGATTGGGCTCAGCGTACAATCAGATATTTTTCGGGCCCAGTTTATTGCTGCAAGAGGGCTCGTGAGAGGACGCGGTCAAATAACTGTGCAACGGCTAGACGTGTGCAAGGTGACGGATGGAGCGGTGAGACCGGGTCAAAAAACATGTCTCTTGTGCAACGTAAGGGATACCTGCTACAAAAAAAAAAAACCACACACACCCGCACTCACGCTTCTTGGAACGTTCCTCGCTCCGAATCCGCCGGTCTGTAGCTTGAACCAGCTCCTCACCTGCCTCACAGCGCGACAGGCGATGGTCTCCGGCGCGCCCACGTCGGTGAGAGGGGCATGCTCTAGCTCCGCGATGGCGTGCAGGGCGAGCGGGGTCGCGACCTGAAAAGTGTGGATGGAGTACACGGGAATGCGAGGTCGAACTGTATAGTCTGTACATTCTGATGGGCGGAGGGGCGCATGCACGAGAGAGTACGCCTACGCGGCTGGGACACGGCACTCCCAGCGGAACGGACGAAAACATTTTGACCCCGCGGAAAAAAAACATTACGTCGAGACACGAGAATAAGCGCACATGTCCACCTGAAGCATGACCAGTATGTGTGGTGGGACTACGTATCTTTGGACTGACCGCCAAGCGAAAACACACCTAAGCGCTTCCACGTACCTGGTTGGCGAAGTCGCGACGGAGGCTGTTCCCGCCGAATATATCGGCCATGGACAGGCCATGGCGGTCCTTGGCGCGGTGGGCCTTCATCGCTCGAGCGAAGGTGGCTTGCATGAAGGCCTCGACGCGGCGGGCGTTCTGCACATAATGAATGGGGGACAGGGCACGTGAAAGGCAGCAGTTGGTTAGACGGCACGGAGGTACGTGGCGATGCTCAAGCTTCAACACTCATTCGGCATGACCTTCACGGCTATAGACACTACTGGTAAAAGTTTTGAGGTATACATACTCTCTCCCAGGGACCACATACATAGGCGCAATCACGCACTCAACGTAGACATATCTACACACCGCTCCCGAAGCACACAAAACAATGGAACTCCTAGTATACCTCGCCCCCGTCGGCATCCATGGTGTACAGAGAAGCGCGAACCCCGCGGATGAGGTCGGACGCGGTCTCCGCTCCCAGGTTGGCTCGGATCTCGTCGTTTAGAGCGGGTAGGATGATGTGCTCCGCCAGGCCCAGCCGAACGGCGGCGTGGAGCTCGCTCCTGTGCGGCGAGATGTTCTTGGAGAGGACCGCTGGAATGTGGAGACAGTTACCCATGATCGCCGGTTGCTCCAGTGCGCGAGTGAGAGTCATGGGTTGCCCGTGGGCTGCCAATGGGCATTGCCCAATACGGGGCACTGCCCGTGGGTTGCGAAGGTGCCAATGGGTGCTCATAGACAACCCATGTGTAAACCCATGATGGGCAGCGGCGAAGTGCCCACCATGGGCTGCCCATGGGCTGCCCACGATAGGCACGTGCCCACCGTGATGGGTAGTCGCGTTAGTGCCCATCACGGGCTGCCCATGGGTCGCCCACCATGGGCACGTGCACATGGGCCGCCCATGGTCAGCCCATGATGGGCAGTAGTATGAGTGCCCACGGTGGGCTGCCCATGGGCTGCCCACCATGGTGCACGTGCCCATGGGCAGCCCATGGACAGCCCATGGGCAGCCCATGAGTAGCCCATGGGTAGCCCATGGGCTGCCCACGGTTGGAGATCGCGTGAGTGCTCACCATGGGCTGCCCATGGGCGGCTCGTTGCCCATGGGCAGCCGATGATGAGCATGCTCTTACTAAGCCCATGATGGGCATTTCATCGGCCGCCCATGGGCAGCCCATGGGCGGGCCTATGGGTCACCCATGGGTAGCCCATGGGCGGCGTATTGGCCATTTGGGAAAACTGTCAGTAGTGTGGGAGATTGTGTGATTCGGGCCACCCTAGCAGGGTGGACCTTGTCGGAGGTGCTCATTTCAGACCCTGCCGGTGGTACGCATTTCAGCCCTTCACAGGGTGGGTCACCTTCGCAGGGTGTTTTTCCCCCGCCCTGCCAGGGTAGCCGAATGGCTACAAGTGCAATCTGCCAAGTCAGCACACAGTTCGTGAGTACACACCTTGGATGTGGAAGTTAGCTCCTCGATGTGTATCTCCCTTTCTCTCTTTGTTCGCTGTATTTCCATCGCACCAACAGAAGGGGACGAAAAAACGTCAAGAGTCCCTCTTAATAGGCATTTTCATGTACGACGTTGTCACACACATCACCTTATTGTTGTTGTCTTCACCAAAACAAACGTTCCGATATCTCGGTCAAGGATAGTCACCTGTCCCACTCTGTCCGTACTACATAATCCAACACTTGACGCGGTCGATTCCCGTGGTCACAGGCAACCTTACCCATAACACAATACTGGACGTATGAAATGGACCCGAAGGGTTACCAAGGCGATAAAAATCAGAGAACTCCGCCCCTTTCTACTTCTACACGCTATGTGCGGTAGAAACGAAACTGCAATTGTCAAAATCACCAACCGGGCGTACTGGTACAATGCCGGGGGGTGTTCCGTGCCGGGTTCTTACCAATCAGGCAACCAAACACATCGAGTGATGTCCACTAATTGTATCGCAGCATGGTACAATGGAACGAAACTGATTTTGACAAATATCACCTCGCTGCTTTATGTACGTTGCCTTCTCCACCTTTTCCACCCCCGCTCACTGCACCCCTGCACCCAATATTGTGGCAACCATTGTCAGGACGTGCTGGACAACAGTACAACAGCCTCTCGACCACCGTTAGTGGCTGGCGGCTGTTGTATCTAAGGAAGGAACAGCAAGCCATCTACCAGCCGAGGAAGGATTTACGCCTTGTCGCGTACACCGATAACGGATGCTCTTCCCACCGACGTGGTCGTCCAGTGTCCGGTCCACTCTAGGTCGGGATGTTCAGCGATGTACTCGCGGGCCTTCCGCTCGGCGTGGTCTTGGCTAAGGATCGGCCCCACATCAACGTCACGCGTAGGTCTTCTTCGAGTTGCTGTTGCTGGTGTTGCTACACGAACGCTGCCGGAATCCGTGGCCTCATCAGAGGACCTGGGCAATGAAGTGCGCCCCCCGAGCGGGGAAGAAGTCACACGTTTACCGACAGAAGGCGACAAGGATAGGCAATGATGATTGCTTGCGCGAGATAGTGGGGGTGTTATGTACTACCCGTGAATAAATAAAGTGATGGATTATGTAAAGGGTTGGAACCACTGTGTCCAATGACGGTCAGCCGATTTCGTTGCCAAGTGGATGCATTCGTTGATGAAGCAATGCCGCGAGAAACAGGTTGAGGTATAGACAATACATGCGTACAACGCACGGACACATACAGAGCTCCTGTCACCAAGCCCAAGGTTAAAGAGCTCCTGTCACCACGTCTCAAGAACGCGAGCGTCGACGATGTTCGCCAACAGCACCCTTATCAAGCGCAACAATTCTAGCAAAAGCGCGGAGACCTGGTTGTATCCGCTGTGATAGCTCATAGCTCCAAAGCAATGACTTCTTTGGCGAGCCGCGTAACGCTTGGGTGGTTAAAGTGAAACTCTCCTTCGTAACAAAGGCGTTCCTGCCTTTGGGATAAACAAACACCACGGAGCACATCAGAGGCTCAAGAGTAGACTTGAGCACCTCACACGCATCAGATGCACATCAGAACGTCCGACACGTGACTGCAATGTTTTCTACCTTCCCTCTGAGGCGTTACGTCATCGTCGGTTGCAACATCCGTGTGGACACTTAGCCCACTGATCTGGAGTGTCAGTTCTAGCATTGTCCCTCACATTCACAGGCAGGAATGTTGCGTGAGGCACTGATGCCTACGACACGCATCAGGTTGCATGTCCCTCAACCTCCGCTTCTGTATAGGCTCTTAGAGCCCAACGAATAACCGACGGCCGGGACAAAAGTTACAAGACAACCAAACAACAAGGAACATGGACCAACTCACCCACTTGCCCCCGTTACCCGAGATCTGGCAGCGTCCAACGCACCTATTGCTAATGATCCAATAGCCTGGTACATGCGCCGAAACAGGAACAGGGACGGGGGGGCATCACGGGGTACGGTTTCGACGCAAAGTGTTTTAGCAAGAATGTTAACGTTTGCCGGATTCTGACTTCTCCCCGCAAACAACGGCGCGCACATGCGGAGCACAAAACGTAACGGGGTGATTTTTTGTGACATGGTATGCCGAACCAGGGGAATGGGCCTCTCGCGAAACGCGTAGTGCATGAAGCAGCAGGATGCTCCACCACACCGATCAAGCGAGCCAGCGCATCTTGACGAGAGTTCGGCGTCTCAACCCAGCATGACGGGGGAGGGGAATCGGTGGGCATGTACCATCTCTGAACTAGGTTCAACTCCATAAACTTGCAACACTGGTTGCAGGACGATCCCAGCCCCCGCCAACACTAGATTATACGACGGCAGTACCAGGTAGGTTTACCGAAAGGTCTCCTTCCATTTCACGAAACGTCCAAAAATCAGGCCAAACATGATTCGCGAACCTGCCACATTTGGGAACTAGCTTCCCGGTCTATTGTCGCCTGCTGTGCTCTCTCTTCGGCCTCCCTGCTTTCCCGCAGTTCCTGCAGCAGCCGCTCATTTCCCTTCTGCATCGCGTCAACTCGCTTTCCCGCTTCTTCACTCGCGTCTTTCGACTCACGCAGGACCTCCTCCAAGATCTTATTGCCTTGCTCCGACTTCAACAGGGACTGGTTCGAAGCGATCAGGGTGCTAAGCTTGTCTACGGAAGAAAACACGGACGAGAAAAAGATAGGAAAAGATGCAGCAGTTGGCTGAGTTGGTTGAAACACACCCGCGTCTCACTGTGGTAGCATAAGGAATGCAGCACGAAATTTGTTTGCCCGGGAACACCAACCGGGGAAGGTACACGCGTTTTAACTTTTCAATCACGAAGTGCTTTATGCTGCTTGTAAAATAGCATCTAGTCCGTCGAAGTCCGTGCTCCGGCACCTGCTTCCAAACTGCCACGTAGCACGAGAAAACACTTCCCTCGTTCCCTCGACACAGAAGGGTCTGATCTTTGCTTAGCGAGGTGGATCATGCCTCGGCCTACGTCGAGAGGAAAGCGCAACCCCAAAGCGTCAAGCATCCCTGCGTGGGGGTCCAAAAGTGCAAGGGCTTTCCGCTGTCGATCCATTGACGGCGGGGCGCATGACAAAATCTGTCATCGAAAAGCTGACCGTTACGACTTGGAAGTAATGGTCATCGTGAGCCACCAAACAACGCACCTGACACTTCGTCTTCGAACTGGTGCGGCGTGGGCAGCTCCCCCTGCAGGTCCTCGAGAATGCCGCCGCCCATGTACTTTTCGACGGAGCGTTGCAGCTGTCCGTGTCCTTCGGCGCACAGTCTTTGCCAACGGCGCATTAGCTCGTCGACCTCCATTGGAAAGCTGAGCATAAGCTTGATCGCCTGCTCGCCCCACCAACACCGAAAGGGGTCGATGTTGCGCCACCAACGACGTCAGAACAATCCTTGTGCAAATCAACGAGCTAGGGAAACCACCGTACGAGAGGCCCGGGAGGGTCCGTGTCGTGTTGCGTGCAAACATGCTTCGAAGTGCGTCTCTACTGCAGTACAGAAGTGGGCGACGAAACACTTTCGTGGGCTCAGCCAGCTGCGCCATATCTCACTGGGCCTTCGACATCTCATGGGCTGACAAAATACTCAAAAAAGCGCGAGTTCCGCTTTCGAGGTGCTCGGTTGTGTCCTACTTGAGTGCTTGAATCGTGTGGTATGGCAGTCTCTCAGCGGGCCCAAGTCGCATTCGCCAACGTCCTGCCACAGGCTCAAGATATTCTACAGCAACATCTTCGAGCCGGTTGATAGGGAGCAACAACTCGTACCTCTTTGTCGACGTGCTGGAGACTCTCGGACCGTAGGCGATTAACCTGGTTGATGGCGTCCGAAACCTGCCGCTCCTGTGCAGCGTAGCACGCCTTTGAACCCTCCTCGATGACCTCTTCGAGCTTCTCCCAGTACTTGCTCGTAACGGACTCGGCTAAGCTCTGCTGGCGAAGCATGTAAGGAGCACCAGTTCGATCGATTGCGAGGCACGCTCAGCTCCTTTAAAATCACAAACGTGCTACTTGTAAGGATTAATGTAAATAGTAAGGGGGCGGTTGTCGTTCCGCCGTGCGCGTTCGCGAAGACGAAGGGATCTACCCCCGTCATATATTCCTTTGTGTTTGCGGTGGGTACATGCTACCCCGGGTCGGAGAGACGCGAATGCCGGGGAGAGGGGAGGGGGGGGCACCCTCTCAAACTATTCGTGGTGCTCGCTCGCGATACCTCTCCACTGAAATCTGCACAAAACTATTCACATGCGCAACAAGAGAATCACCAAGCAGAGAAACCACCCCAGGAAGTTGCAGCAGCAGCAGGCGCCGCGATGACGACAACAGACAATGTACACGTGCCTGTTCCGTGAAGTGTCCGACGGCTGTGGACGTTGCCACCTCGATCACTTTCATTGTGGCGGCCTTCGACAATGGTGGCTTGCCTGTAAATGACATTGGGAAGGGAAGTCGAATAGGGAGGGTTGTTGCAGCGTTGACTGCTACAACATAGGAAAATCGACAATGGTGCCTTGTCTGAAGTGAGAATGGGTGGGAGAGTGGAGTTGGAAGGGTCTTGGAGGCGTTGATTTGATCATACCACAACGAGCGCTACCACCAAAGGGGAAGGACTCCGTGCTACGATGATGCCATGACCTGATCAATCGGCGCTCCGCCGTCAACGTCCCGAAACCACAACATTTTCCGAAAAGAAAAAAACTCTTGTGGTGTTGTCATCCGCCAACTGCTGGTTCCTTCACATGTAAACACCTAAACATGTATCTCCACTTCATATGCGGAAAACAGCCGGTTGCGTGGCGCAAGGCTCCTGTTTGTTTTTGTTGCGTTTGCAAGACCATCGCAACATCAAAACACCACGGCCGAACCCTGTTGCTACCCTCTACCCCTTACCCTCGACGCTCTTTGCGACGCTCTGCTTGAACAGTTTCTTCGACTCGGATAGCACGGTCTCCGCCCGCCCCTGCTGGATGGACTGCATCAGGCTTCAAGGCAAAACCATGCAGCAGAAGGGCGCCGACAGCACCAGGCGAGTGTGTGGGCAAACCCGGAGATTGGGTCGTACGGGAGTGGAGGTGGGTATTCTTCGTCGCGCATTCGTAGACGTTGCTGACTCTCCTTGTGTATTGCCCTTTTGGCACTGCCTCAAAGAGGTCAAAGCGATCTTGCATTTATCGGGGCCGCGGTAGGCGGTCAGGTGATTGATACGATCGATGAACATAGAACACTATTGATCGTCAATGCCATCGGCTCAAACCAATCTTGGGGCCGAGCGACGGTTGTGGTGGGCATTTCAACTTCTTGAACGCGCGTGGACATGTGGCCGGTGACGCAGAGCGGTGGGGGGTACGAAGCGCGAGGTGCAGAGGTGCCACGGCTGCAACAGGGTAGTTCTTGGGCGGTTTCCAACAACTGCCCCGAATCGCTGTGATAAGCAGGGAAACGAGCGTTGATCGCTGGTGGCGGAACAGGGGGGTCAAGCCCAGACGACATGTAGCAACTCGATAAGACCCCGTCAAGGCCTTCAAAGACAATCCGCCGACTGCAAAGCGAGACCTGACACGATGGCTACCGCGCATTGGTTCTCTCTAGAAGGGGAGGCGGCTTGTGTTGCCATGGACGTCGAACGACATGGGAGGATAACCCGGAAAACGTCACCCTCCCCGCAACAGGCACATGAAACGCCCCATATCACTTCTCACAACGCTTCGTTTCAACCCAGTACAGACGGGGTCAACAACTATTTAGCACAACATGCTGCGCCGCCAGTATGCACATGCCGACGAAAACAACGCTGCGAAAGAGCGAGGACAAAAGGCGAACGTCAGCCACCCACCTGAGAGGAAAGAAATTCGAAAGCCCGCCGTTGACTGCCCCGCACACCCCAGTCAGCAGCGAGGAAAGCACTTCACCTCCCACGATGGCCTCGTTTCCGAAGGAGTGCGGTCTCGCGAGAAGATCCGTCGCAAGAAACTGTCGCAAGTTGTTAACCTTGGCCGCAAACGCTGGAGACACCTCACCCTGAGCAATCTGTCGGTCTGCATACATCCATCGATGGACGAGCAACATTGTAAGTACAATCCAAGGTCGGCACCTATGAGTTTGTTCGAATCTACTTCGCGCCGGTGTTTGTTTCTACCAAACCGCACAGCATCGCAGATAGACTACTAGAAGCACAACGTATTGAATTGTAATCGGCGGGCTCACAACGCCGGCCTACTAGCTTGATGACGCACGCTTTTCTTCTACCTCCCCCCACCCCCTCTCTGTCAGAAGCACCAAAAACGATGGGGCTTCAGACGAGGCTGGGGCTACCCCAGGCGATATACATATGTATACCACAGTACTTCAAGAACGTTCACACCTCCATTTATTTCGTCGTGAGGAAGAGGCAGAGAGCACACACGAATGCTCTGGAAAGACCTGGTGAGGTCCCGCCGGATGCCGTTGCGCAGATTCATCTGCTCTTCCGCCTCGTCAGTTTCACAGTCATCTTTCTCCTCGTCAAAGATCAGACTATAGGCGTCTTTCTCGTATTTTTCAGCCACGTCACGAAGCAACACGATCAGGTGGCCGAAGGCGTCTAGAGCCGAAAAGAAATACGTATGCAGATAGGATCACAGCAGACAGACAACGCGCGTGGTAGGAAGGATAGGGTCGTCGTGTCATGATCGCTGCCTCTCGTTCTGGCGGGGGCGACTATTCAGTGGCCGGAGTAGAATATTTTGTAAGGGTTATATGCCAACCCAGAGTTGATGGTGCATTTTGGTAAAACAGTGAAATTTGGTAGAGGCGGCCAACACGGCATTTGACCAACCTGCTGAGCAAAAACACCTTCAGTACTCGCCTCGGCGCTGTGACCGGTCGATAGTGGCAGCTGCTTCCCTCATCATTCCCAGACGGTCGAGCATGGTAGTCTTGTTTGGCTGGCCGAGCCAGTTGAAGATGACCACCTTGGGATATTAGTTCACATCGTGCAGTAGCAAGGGGAGAGAGAGGCCATGGGTGCGGGGATACATAAACTTTGTCATGGCGCAATCGTTGCAAGGCACACTGCGGGACCGTCACACTGGTGAGGCTACATGCTCCTTTCGAAGCCGATATCGGAGCAGCGCAATCTTAAGCCATCGTTCTCGAAACACAACAGCGGTAGTCTTCATGTCGTGCGATACCGTGCAACTCAATGTACCACCCGGTTCACGGCGGATTCGAGCTGCAACGCGACGAGAGGTTGCGAGCTGTGCCCCACGGTCCCGGCAGCAAGAGCCGAATGTTTCGCGAATTTCTCCGCCTTCGCTTCAACGGAAAGAGAGATAAGCGCTTCGATTATGAAACCCATGCGGAAATAGAACACGCGGACGGTGTGCATCGTCGGGACTGAATGAGGTGCAACTTCCCGGCTCCCGTCGATCACGTTGCAAACACAATATATAGTTCTCGACAATATGGACTACTGTGACAACCACGCACGCACATGCTTCCCCCACCACAGCGCCGCTTAGAAACACCACCACGCCACAGCTTCAACAGCGAAAACGGCACACACAAACCACGATTCATTCAAATCACTGATGTAGAGCCACTTCGGGACCAGCTTCAAATGCTTCACAAGCCAGACACTACTATATGTAGTCTACAAACGCTTCGGGTGTGCGTCGCATTCTACAGACCCCAGTTTTCCCCAAAGAACATGAAATAATAATCTCAATAGCGCATCTCGCACCTTCGAGAGCAGAAGAAGCGGGGTTGCCAGCTTGATTTCGTAGGTGAGGTGCCCGTCTCCCTGTCCCTCCACGTCTACAAACCCAATTACTGGCTGCACGTCAGCCCCCAAATTCGTCCCCGACAGTAGCGACGAGGACACAGCAGTAGGACTTCCCGACTCGCCGCCGAAGTCCGACAGGCTGGCAAGGATGGCAACACAAACCGATTCGGTGGATCGAGGGTATGACTTGTCAATCATCAGCGTTCCGACGGTTCGCCAAGCTATAAAGTTGTGACCCGGTATGAGATGTACCATCCAGATTTGATCTTAAAGTACCAATCGTGGGTAAGCATCCGCAATGAACCTCCATGCTTAGGAAAGTGTGAAGCGTCGGATAGAACGTGTTTGACAGTGCAACGGAAAGGGAGATATGGTGATAACTTCCTTTTCTTTCAACCCGTACGTGACTGGGTTTTACTTGATTTATTTTTTCTCAATGGCTCTCTGTGATCCAAGATCTTACATGCATACATGTACACACATCAATCACGGCGGCAAGGATGGTGCAGGAGTAAATCCCTGTGTGGGGCTCACAGGGATGGGGACGCGGGTACTTGTAAGGGTGATGAACATGAGTAGCATGCATACTACTGCTATTCTGTACAGCAGTCGTACGAAGCGAGAGAAAATTTACAGCAGTAGTACAAAACGGTCGGAGCCACGTGCAGCGTTCCCGACAGCAAACATCCGCACAGAGGATGTACCTGTGCATGCAATACCTTCTGGCACATCTTCTCTGCCTCATCTGGACAGAGCATACGGCAAACGCATATGCTAGCGGCGCTAGATGCGAAGACGCTGGCGGGAAACCGCCTCACAGAAATGCCAGATCGACGAAAAGGCAGCCCACTCATCAGAGAATCGAGACCATCATCCACGATCGCACAAAATGCATTAAAATCGTGACAAATTCTACAAATCCGTTCTACGAACAGAGGACTGTGATCGGAGGTGTGATCGGAGGTATAGTCGTGAAAACCCTCGCCTTTGGGCGAAATTTTGCACACAGCAGACGAACCACCCTTCACTCCCAATGCTGGGAACCACACGCACCGCGATCACAACATCAAGCACCGAGGCAGTACGTTAGCATAGGCTCCGGTGTGCGTTTTCTCTGCTTTCCCCCGCGGATGCGGCACCGGGTTGATCCCATATTCAGGGTGTTGTATGTACCCTTCCCCCGTGGTATTGCGTTTGGATACAGCAATAGGTAGGCTGTAGTCTAGATTGGATCTGGAAAGGATATCCGCCCCACATCAGAGAGAATAGGCATGATGATTAGTTATGTACTTTGTGTCCTATGCGCATTGCCATGTAGGGTACCGAACTACGGTGCCGAAGGGCTCCTCGGCCCCCAGTGAGCGGGGGGGCCCGAATCGCAAGCGAGAGTAGTGGAGGACGGTGAAAAGGGGNATTCGGCGAGTCGCATGAAGGGTGCGCTACATCCTGCTAAGGGTGTTCGGCATCTTGTGCTTACTTCTTTGCATATGGATGACAGCTGTGTATGACATCCTTTATTTTCTGGTGCTTTCACTTCCAGAGACAGTTGTAAGCACTGCGAAACTGCCTCGAGGGTGCTTGACCATTTAGCACGACGTGGTGCGATCATCCCCCTAGCGCGGAGTGAGGGTTCTCCACCCCGCACAACATGATCTACTCGACCACCATTATGGTTACCGCCAAAAAA